TATTATCCCAGCAGGGTACCTGATCACGGGCAAGGCGTAGGTGTTGATAGCCCGGATCTTGTTCTTACCGTTCAGCTGACTTCTCAGGACTTGCCTGACCCTATGCAGGTACTTGGTGGTTGCAGCTTTCCTAGCGACCTCTTGTGGTTCCCAATTGCCTGTGGGATCCCCAGGTACTTGTAGCTGTCCTCTATGTCTGCAATGTTGCCTTCTGGTAGTTCGATCCCCTCAGTTCTGACTACCTTCCCTCTCTTTGTTACCATCTGACTACACTTCTCCAGTCCGAATGACATTCCGATATCATTGCTGTATATCCTGGTAGTGTGGATCAGTGAATCGATGTCTCGTTCACTCTTGGCATACAGCTTGATGTCATCCATGTACAGGAGGTTGCTGACAACTGCTCCATTCCATAGTTGTTATCCGTAGCCAGTCTTGTCAATGATCTCACTGACAGGATTCAGGCCTATGCAGAACAGCAGTGGGGACAGAGCATCTCCTTGGTAGATCCCGCACTTGATGGTGACTTGTGCTATGGGCTTGAAGTCGGCCTCTAGTATTGTCTGCCACATCCCCATTGAGTTCCTGATGAAGGCTCTTAGGGTCCTGTTGATCTTGTATAGTTCTAGGCATTCCAAGATCCAGGTGTGGGGCATTGAGTCATAGGCCTTCTTGTTATCAATCCAGGCAGTGCACGGGTTGGTCAACCTGGTCTTGCAGTCTCGGCTGACTGTTCTGTCTACCAGTAGCTGGTGTTTTGCGCCTCTGGTATTCTTGCCAATCCCTTTCTTTGCCCCACTCATGTATTGACCCATGTGCCTGTTCATATTAGCCGATGTAGTACTGAGGCAGGTTATTGTTCGGTAGTTGGATGTGACCGGTCCCTTCTGGGGGTCCTTGAGGATCAGGACTGTCCGGCCTTTGGTTAGCCATTCCGGGTGTCTCTCGGCAACTAGAAGCTGGTTCATTTGTGCTGCCAGACGCTCGTGAAGTGCAGTCACCTTCCTCAGCCAGTAGGCGTGAACCATGTCGAGGCCTGGTGCTGTCCAATTCTTCATACCAGAGACCCTTGCTTGGATGTCTGCCACCGTGATGGTTACTGGACCCTGTTCAGGGAGGTTGCTATGGTCTGCCCTCAGATCCACTAGCCACTGAGCATTGCCATTATGGGTTGCGTCCTTCTCCCACATGCTCTTCCAGTATTGCTCCGTTTCCAGCCTTGGTGGTGCTGTTCTTGTATTGTTCCCTTGCCACTGAGAGTACACCTTGGCTGGTTCTGTGGAGAACAGCTGGTTTATTCTCCTGCCTTCTATCTCTCTGGTGTACCTCCTCAAGCGGCTAGCCAAGGCTGTGAGTCTTTGCTTGGCGGTTTCCAAGGCCTCAGGTATGGACAGCTTGCTGTATTTTTTATGCACCTTCTTTGTCGCACCTTTCTGCAACTCCGTTAGTTGGCTAACCTCCCTCCGTGCTACCTTGATCTTGCCCTCTAGCCTCCTTCTCCATGGAGGGTACTGCTCCTTGTGGCTGTTCAACTTATAGCCAAGCATCTCACTGATCACTGCTGCCGTAGTATAGATCAGCTTGTTAGTTTCGGTAATGGTGGTGGTAGGTATCGTCCGTAGTGCTGCATTCACATCATCTAGTAGACCTTCTGAGGGTACTTTACGTAGTCTTGCTAACCGGCTACGGGGGATTAAGGTTTCAAGCTTTAAGAAGGATTGTTGAGTGCGAGAGGAACATATATAGACAATATATATATGTATATATATGTATATATATATATGTATATATATATATATATATATATATGTGTGTGTGTATATATATATATATATGTATATATATATATGTATATATATATATGTATATATATATATATATATATATATATATATATATATGTATATGTATATATATGTATATGTGTGTGTGTGTGTGTGTGTGTGTGTGTGTGTGTGTACACACTTGTGAATAGATAAAGAAATCTTAACAGGAATGTGACCGTTGACATCTCTATAGGCCATTTCATAGTTGTCTGTGATGAGGCCTACAATTGTTGTGTCATCCGCAAACTTGATAATGGTGTTTGACTTATGTTTAGCAACACAAATGTGTGTGAACAGGGAATATAGGGGGTCTAAGCACACAACCTTGTGGCGTTCCTGTGTTTAGGATGAGTGATGAGGAGGTGTACTTACCAATTCTCACCACCTGGGGCCTGTTTGTGAGGAAGTTCAGAATCCATCTGCAGATAGCTGTTCCTAGCCCAAGGTCGACGAGCTTCGAGGCAAGTTTTGAGGGGATGATGGTGTTAAATGCCAAGCTGTAGTCGATGAAGAGCATTCTTGCATATGTATTCCCTTTTTCCAGGTGAGGGAGGGCGGTGTACATTGTCAGGGCGATGGCATCCTCTGTGGCTCTGTTTGTCCGACAGCCGAACTGAAGAGGGTCCAGTGTGTCAGGGAGGGAGGAGCAGATGTGACCTTTGACCAGCCACTCAAGGCACTTCATGAGGGATGTCAGTGCAACAGGGCGGTAGTCATTCAGACAGAGAGTTTATTTATTTTGTCTTTTGATATTGTCATATTCTAGCTTTACTCTCAGTTGTCTGTATTTTATTTTAATTGTATTTTTAATTATTTTTATTTATTACATACCACGTGTTTACATGCAGAATACAAAAAAGACAAAACATTGCCAATGTGGTCAGTTTTCCACTATTAAAAACTTTCTAATTAGTCTTCCCAGACAAACACAGAAATTCCTGAAACAAGCGGTTAAAAAACTTGTTTTTCTTTGTAGTGGGTTAGATTTGGTAGATGTTTGGTTAATGCATGGTGTTTGTGAACACAGCATGAACATTCATGCCTAATGTAAGCAGCTGTAGCCTACTCCCATTTCCTGGCAACTTGCACTCATTCCTGTAGAGGGTGGCGAAGGTCACAAGTTGTCTTTAAGTATTGCAGATCACATTCTTTTGTCCTGCCAATTGCTTAAAGCTTTGTAATTGTAAAAGGGTGGTAAGTAGGATCCTGACTGTCTGCAGTTTGGCTTAAAGTAGCGTGAACCCTGGCTGACTACTTTCTTTCTCTTGTTAAAGGCTTACACACTGCTGCTGTCTTGTTGTAGCCTGGTTTTTGCTTTGTTGCTGTCGTGTTGATTGGCATTTGTTCATTGTTTTATAGCGTTTCAGTGTTAACTGTTTGTTATATTTTAATCAAGCTTTTAAAAGGACCTGTATCTTGTGTGTGTGTGTGTGTCATGTGTGTTTACGCCTGTTTCTTTTGTATCTTATTTACTGGGTTGTTTTTATATTGCTTTATTTATAATTTAAATATAAATAAAGCATAAAATAAAGCGTGTGGTGGAATTCCCTTTCATGCCTGTGAATGTACACACCGGGAAGCAAGTATAACCTGTGTGCCATTTGTAATTATTACGATGCTTACACTGGCTATTGTAATCTCTCCTGGGGTGTAACTCCCTCCCTAGGTGGCGTTGTCAACACCATTTAGTTACCTTCACCAGTTTTCCTCCTTCACAGTGCCACAAGTCCGAAACATTTGGTGTGCATTGGCTCTGCTTCCCATAGCAAGTACACAAACGCTTCAACCAGTGTAGCCAAATAAAAGAGGAACTCGTGTTTACCTGCACACGTGTGTACCCATATAAACACGTTTTTTTACAAGAAAGCACAGAGTAAAGGCAGTGTACTTTTGCACATTAGCTAAAATGTTATATTCACCGGTTGTTGCCCACATTACTTTAGAAAAGCCACAACATGAAGAGTGAGGTCTTGCTGCACTGTCATGTGACATTGCATTTGACTAAAACAGAGCTGCAAAGTGAAACAGTGCTGTCAAATTAAAAATAATCCAGTACTATTTTGGTAGTCATTCTATATACCAAAGAAGCCGGTTCCCTGTTAATTTAATGAGAAATATAATAGAGCTGAAATCCAAACAAATTGCAAATTTCTTCCTTTAGATACACAAAAATATTTTTTTGGAGATAGAATCATGGGTGCTTCCAGAGTTGTTTCATAGGGGTGGCCATAGCGAGGCCACTAAAAATATTGGGGTGGCCATAAACAGAATTACAGTTTTATTATGCTCTTGTCAAATATAGGTCACTTAAAATATGTCGAGAATGAAAAGAATTATAAGTTTATAAGTTGATTTCACTAAAAATAGATACATATAAAAACAAAATAAAAATTCCTTTACAATAATTTGTTTATAGGAGGAATAAATATCAAGTTAATGTTTCGATGAACTGTAGGGTGTCTTCCTCTCTCGTGCTCACATATGGGGCGACCAGCAATTTTTTTTTTTCAGGGGCGGGGGTCAGTGTAAGAAATGCAAAGGCTAAAATGCATATCTACAATAACACATACTTTTAAACATGTAGAGCCATCAAAATGGACTTTCTGCTGTGCGTGTGTGTGTGTGCACGTGAGAGGGTAACCACATTTCACTCTGAACATGTCAAACTGATGTGTAAATAAGGAGGCAAAACCAGCAGGAAACCACACGCTGTGATCAAGCACAAACCATTTACAAAACCTAACAAAGAAAAAAATAGACGCGACGATGAAGTTAATTTTCTTCTCTATTTTGCAGAACATGCAGAAAAAAGTAAGATGAGTGTAATAAAGTGGTTGCAAAATGTGTGAAAAGTAAAGAGGCAACTTCATGTCACATGTTTCTGAAGGAAATTTAAAAAAACACAGACATCCTTGTCACCGTATTTGTTGGCGTGACAGTGAGAAGAAAAGATGGTCTTACAATGGTCTTTGTTCTTCATGTACATTTGCATTAAAGGTATGGATAGTATAGACCTTTAAAGTATAGCTGAAAATTTTAATTCTCACATTTTCATACATCTTTGTGTAACACATAATGTCGGTATTACATGATCTTTTCTTTATTTTCACACACATTTACGTTGTCCTTCTTATGTTGGTAGTCTTATTTATTTGTTTTGTTTCATCATAATTTACTCTCAAATTTATTACAGTTACTCCAACAGAATCTTCATCTTGGACCGCTGCTGTGCCATCCTCAGTGAAAGGTCTCCTTGGCTCATGTGTGGTGATCCCCTGCTCTTATAACTACCCAGAACCACAAAAAAGCCCACAGACCTTCACGGGGATTTGGTATAATAATGATAATCAAGTCATCTGTCATTCTGATGCATCTCAAACTCCAGCTCAGTTTCAGAGTCGGACAAAGCTGCTGGGAGACCTCAACAAGAAGAATTGTTCTCTGATGATTGATAAACTTACAAGAAGAGATGAAGGGACCTTTCATTTCAGGATTATAATGGAAGCTTATGCCGTATTTTCCTACTCAAAGAACAAAATCTCTGTTTCAGTGATTGGTAAGTTAACTGAATGAATGCTGTACAGTTACACTCAAATTATCCACTCATGTGGAAAGTGTTATGGTACTGGTTCGTTATTTCTATGTTTCCGGACTAAATAGTGTTATTTGAATATTCCTCGTTGATTCCTAATTAGTGTCAGCTGTATTTCCACCTGCTACCCATCCTCTTGTTACCCTTTTGTGTATATTTATGTCCTCAGTTTCCCTTTCCCCACTGTTGTATGCGTCTCTCTGTGTTTTAGAGTTCTGTGTTTTGCTTCTAGTTTCCACGTTCCTTAGCTTAGTGTTAGAATTTTTGAGGTATTTCTCTGTACAGCAATAAAGCTGCTTCTTTAGTTTACTATTTGGTCTTTGAGTGCTGCGATTGGGTCCTGGCTTACCTGCCATACAGCATAAAGTCAAATCATAGTAAAGTAAAGTCCACATTATCATATTGTTAGATTTTTATAAGAATAGTGTTTTGCTTTGTTTTTTCTCTTATTCCCTTCTCCTCACCTTAATCTGTTTCCTATATTAGTTCTACGCATTATGGTATTTGGAAATTCAACAATTGGATTAGTCTTTGGATTTGCAAAAAAAATCACAGTTAGTTTGGGTCTTAAAATCATCTTGATCTTTCTTGTTAACACAGATGAACCAAATCCCACTGATTTCTCTGTGCAAGAGGAGGTAAAGGAGGGTCAAACTGTGTCTGCATCCTGCTCGGTGTTTCACTCCTGTCCCACATATTCACCTTCTTTCCACTGGAGTCACTCTGGAGAGCAGCATGATCAAACACAGAAGCTTCAAAATGGCCAGTGGAATGCAACATCTACTTTGACCTTTCGCTCAAACCGCTCTGATCACAACAAACCTTTACAATGCAGTGTTACATACCACGGTGGAAAGCAGCGGGTAACATCCAAGACCCTTAAAGTAAAATGTAAGTGTGCACTGACAAATACATGTAGATGAAAGAAAATCTTATAAATATTGTAAAAATGATCACTTTTAAAAAAATCTAGAATACAATGTTCTAAAAATTAAGGGTGTTCCGACACTAGGCATGGTTGCTTTGTTACATGTGTTTGCAGTTGTTAGAATTAGAAATAGAAATTTTGTAGTAATTTTCCTGTATAAATCGTTGGTTGTTACATTTGTAAGTGTTCTTTAACATGATTGCACATACAGTGGGATGCAAAAGTTTGGGCAACCTTGTTAGTAGTCATTTTCCTGTATAAATCGTTGGTTGTTACAATAAAAAAATGTCAGTTAAATATATCATATAGGAGACACACACAGTGGTACTTGAGAAGTGAAATTAAGTTTACTGGATTTACAGAAAGTGTGCAATAATTGTTTAAACAAAATCAGGAAGGTGCATAAATTTGGGCACCACAAAAAAAAGAAATGAAATCAATATTTAGTAGATCCGCCTTTTGCAGAAATTACAGCCTCTAAACGCCTCCTGTAGGATCCAACGAGAGTCTGGATTGTGTTTGAAGGTATTTTGGACTATTCCTCTTTACAAAACGTCTCTAGTTCATTCAGGTTTGATGGCTTCAGAGCATGGACGGCTCTCTAACTCACACCACAGATTTTCAATAATATTCAGGTCTGGGGACTGAGATGGCCATTCCAGAATGTTGTACTTGTTCCTCTGCATGAATGCCTTAGTGGATTTTGAGCAGTGTTTCGGGTTGTTGTCTTGTTGAAAGATCCAGCGCAGCTTCAGCTTTGTTACTGATTCCTGGACATTGGTCTCCAGAATCTGCTGATACTGAGTGGAATCCATGTGTCCCTCAACTTTGACAAGATTCCCAGTCCCTGCACTGACCACACAGCCCCACAGCATGATGGAACCACCACCATATTTTAGTAGCAGGTGTTTTTCTTGGAATGCTGTGTTCTTTTTCCTCCATGCATAACGCCCCTTGTTATGGTAAATGGCCTGCATTTGTATAGCACTTTACTCAGTCTCTAAGGACCCCTTTAGTGCTTTACATTCAGTCATTCACCCATTCACACACACATTCACACACTGGCAATGGCAAGCTACGTTGTAGCCACAGCTGCCCTGGGGCACACTGACAGAGGCGAGGCTGCCGGACACTGGCGCCACCAGGCTCTCTGACCACCACCAGTAGGCAACATGGGGTCAGGATATTTGACATGCCTGGGATTGAACCACCGACCTTCTGATTAGCGGCTGACCTGCTCTGCCACCTGAGCTACAGCCACCCCTATTTGTTATGCCCAAATAACTAAATTTTCTTCAGTCCACAGCACCTTATTCCAGAATGAATAATGAAGTCCAAATGTGCTTTAGCAAACCTTCTGTCTATCCGAGATTTTTCTTGGTGTGCCACTTTGAGCCTTACCTTGAACTGAGCCTGTGGTCTTACATTTTCTCAATATGTTCCTAACTGTGGAAACAGACAGCTTAAATCTCTGAGACAGCTTTCTGTATCCTTCCCATAAACCAGGGGTCCCCAATCCCAGTCCACGAGGGCCGGTGTCCCTGCAGGTTTTAGTTGTGTGCTTGATCCATCACAGCTGATTTAAATGGATAAATTACCTTCTCAACATGTCTTGAAGTTCTCCAGAGGCCTGGTAATGAACTAATCATTTTATTCAGGAGTGTTGACCCAGGGTGAGATCTAAAACCTGCAGGGACACCGGCCCTCGTGGACTGGGATTGGGGACCAATGCCCTAAACCATGATGGTGAACAATCTTTGTCTTCAGATCATTTGAGAGTTGTTTTGAGACCCCCATTAAAAGAGGAGGGAAACTTACAACCCCTTTAAATACTGAGCTTACCAAGCCAATTTGAGTTCCAATAATTCGTTCTAAAGGTTTTGGAATCAATAACATGACAACAGTGCCCAAATTTATGCAACTGCCTGATTTTGTTTAAACAATTATTGCACAATTTCTGTAAATCCAATAGACTTCATTTCACTTCTGAAATATCACTGTGTGTGTCTCCTATATGATATATTTAACTGACATTTTTTTATTGTAACAACCAACGATTAATACAGGGAAATATTGACTATTAACAAGGTTGCCCAAACTTTTGCATCCCACTGTATGTGCAATCATGTTAAAGAACACTTACACAAAACTCCAAAGTAATTTGAAAACTAAGCAAAACCCAGTAGCATGTACAACCACCTTTGGCTACAATGACTTGTAAAGTAAGTAGCCGTTTCTCACATCATTTTGAAGAAATTTCATCTTTCACATCTTTAGAAGGTTGCTTCATTTCATTGAGGTTTGTGGACACTTGTTTATGCACAGCTCTCTTTTAAATTGTCACCACACAATTTTAATCTGAGATCTAAATTTTGACGAGGCAACTGCAAAACCTTGATTCTTTTCTTTGTCAGTCATTCTTTGGTTGGTAATGTCCTTGGGATTATTAATTCAATTCAATTCAATTTTATTTATATAGCGCCAAATCACAACAAATGTCGCCTCAAGGCGCTTCATAGATACAGAGAAAAGCCCAACAATCATATGACCCCCTATGAGCAAGCACTTTGGCGACAGTGGGAAGGAAAAACTAGCTTCTTCCCACTGTCCCAAGCTAGCTTGGTCTTATTAATCAGTTAAGACCAAGCTACAAACAAGCTGTAGCCTCATGTTTGACTCTAGAATACTTTGATATACTGAGGAGTTCATGGTTGAGTGAATGACTGCAGTCATGCTACCCAGATTTTTGGTGGGTTTTTTGATTTATTCTTTTTTTTTTAACACTGCATTTTTATTACTAGTTTTTTTTTTTTTTTTAGCATTGTAGTTTGACTTTGGGGTGAATTTGTTGGGACATCAACTCCTGGAAAGACTGCAAACTTTCTTGAATGTTTCCTACAGTGAGAATAAGCTTTCACACTGCAGAATGAGAAACTTATTTGGAAATGGCCTTATGATCCATTTCAGAATGATGGACAAAAACAACCACTTATCTAATTTAGCTGCTAATGTATTTCTTCCTTTGTGTTGCGGTTAACACACACCCAAAATGCTACAGACCTGCAAACTGCCAAAACCTCTGCTTGCTGACACAATAAGTCATCTTTCAGTTGCCTGATAATTGCACTGAATGAGCTTGTGCCAAAAAGAACTGTAAATTCTATGCTTTTCTATATGCATCCTTTTTAAAAATGTTTTTATGAATTATTTATAAATTCGTTTTTCTCTCTTATTTCTTTTGTTTTGTTTGTTTGTTTAATGAACCGCGACGTCAGTCTAGTGGTATGACAATGAATCACTGACTGAAAGTCAATTTAGTCTTAACAACTACTGGATTGACTGCTTTGATATTTTGTCAGTATATTCATCATCTCCAAAATATTGGTGACTTTCATCGACTTCCTGAACTTTTTCATTTGGTGCCACCATCATGTCAGAATGTTGAAATAAGCTCAACCTTGACCTGACAGTATGTAAAATAAGATAAAATGCTGCACAGTAACATAAAGGATTAAATGTTTCTATGCAGATGCTCCAGTGAATGTGAAGGTTGAGTACCAGTCAGTGAATGAGGGAGAGACTGCACACCTGAAGTGCTCCAGTGATGCTAACCCTGTCAGCAGCTATGAGTGGCACAGTGAAATTGGTACTCTGCTGAATAAGAGACAAACCTACACAATGTCAAATGTCTCCAGACATTCAATAGAGTCCATGTACTGCACTGCTGTCAATGAGGAAGGACGAATCAGATCAAGCACCGTGAAGCTCAATGTGTTATGTGAGTACAAAATGGAAGAAATATAACAACAAAATAGATTTTCATGTGAGTCAAAGATAAACTTTATTGACAAAAATATTAGGCCACACCTATTAATCCTTAAATTCAGGTGTTTTCAGTCCCGTTGCCACTGGTGTATAAAATCAGTCACCTAGCCATACAGTCTGCCTTTACAAGCATTTGTGAAAGAATGGGTCGTTCTCGAGAGATCGTTTAACTTGAGTGTGGTACTGTAATAGGATGTTACTGTTTTGAGAAGCCAGTTTTTGGAATATCTAGGAGGAAGAAATTTCAAAATTAACATAAAGTTACAAAGCAGTGTCACCAAGTACTGAGGCGCATAGTGTTAATGAGTCATCTGACTCAATAACTATTGAGTCATCTGACTCAATAACTCCAAAGTTCAAAACTTCTGCTTACATCATGGCAACATGGCATAAATTTAGATTGCTGAGCAGCTATTTTATCCATATAATGTATATAATAAATGCACAGCTATCTTTTATCTCCTAATTATAGCTCTCTAGTGTCCTTACAGATCCCCCTGATATTAGGACTTCATCTAAGTGTTTCTCAGAGGATGATGAGGTAAAGTGTGAGTGCATCGTGGAGTCCAGGCCTCACAGCATGGTCCATTTTGTTTTTGGTGACAGAGTTCTGCAAAGCACCAGCGTAGAGACAGTTGGCTCTGTTACTACTGGAACTCTGCAGACAGACTTTGGGTCCTTTAAGTTTGTTCACTGCCTGGCAAACAACACACTGGGAAATGCTAACCTCACACTCTTGTTACCTGCTAATGGTAAGAAAAAATTTCAATCTCAAGAATGTCAAGCATTAATTATTCTCACTTTATATTTACATGGCAAAACAAAAAATATTCATTATGCTTTCTTTTTGAACAGACAACATGCAGAATATTTTCATAGTCTCTGGAGCAGGTGTGATTTTTCTGATTATTCTGATAGCCACTGGAGTGGGAGTTGTTAGAAAATGGTGAGTTTTAGAAAATATTTGTATTTCTGAAATGGTGGTTGGAAGAAAAATCTACACAATAATGGACATTTTTTTTTGAGGTTTTGACAGCCAGACCACCTAAATAAGGTATATTGCCTATGTCCTTTGTTATTCAGTTAATAGAAAAAGCAGCACATAACACAGGAGTTAAAAAAGTATTCAGAGTAAGAAGCAGAGCACCATGTCTCTTGGAAAGTACAGAGCTGATTAACTATGAAGTCTGAGCTACAAATAAAACACAGACACAATCCTGTAGCTTGAAAGAAGAAGTCACACACATCCATTTCTTACTTCTGCTTTGGTGAGTTATAACAGTCAATACTTTTGTGAAATCTATCGCAGATGTTATTTGCATCTTTTCTGAGTATCAACACAGAGAGAAGCTGTTGCTGTGAGGATCAACTTTTTTTTTAGATGTGTGTTATGGTGTTGAATTCTTTGTTATTTTCATTTATAGAAAGACTGTTAAATGAGCAGCATAGCAACATTAACAACTAGTATCAAAGACAACTGTGGTATTTAAAAATGTTCCTTTAAAAACAGATTATCCTAAATCACACACACACACCCCTCTTCCTCTCTCTTCATCTTTAGTTGGGGAAAAAGAGAAAAACAAAACAGGCTAATTGCGTTCTTTTTCTTTTTAATAAAAACAAAATCCACTGATTCTATTCATTGTGCTTTTACTTCAGTAACATTACTCATGAGAAGTATGTTGACAAAAATAAAAATGTTCAAAATATAATCTTTTATATAAATGAAACATGCACATATTGACTCCTCCTGAAACTGCTGCTGCTGCTCTTTCAGTTCAGACCATCATAGGCTGCTATGTTCAATGAGATCATTGTAATGATGCTTATTTTTGTCACGCAACATGTACAAAAAAAACTTATCTCAGAGCTTGCATCTGAAATTCATTTATTTGTGTTTGCCCATCCAAATATAGCAGCCAAATGTGGCTCTACTTAAGAGGTTACCAAAACTGACAGCTGTCTTTCTCATGTTCTTATTTATTTTATTGTTTTCTGCCAGCAGGGGGAGATCAAGGGAGACGCCATCATCAGACTTGGGCACCATGAAAGCAGAGAGACCTGTGGAGCTCCCTCGTTATGCCCCAACAAAAAGGTTTTGATTCTTCATCTTAAGTTTAAACAAACAATCTCACTCGTGATTAAATATGATTTTAAAAGATGTTAACTAGATTTAATGTTTTTGCATTCTTTCTGCAGGAAAGAGGACAGGAAGGATATGTCTTGTTCTGACATTTATGCCAATGATCATGTCTATGGCAATGTAGGGATAAGTAATGATTTCTTCATTAGTTCATTCATAATGTGCATGCATAAACAAAGTGAGTGAATTAATCTTGTTTCTCTGTCTAGACTGACTGCGATGAGTCAATATACAACAATGTGTAGCGTGTGGAAGATCAGCTTCAGTCCAGGTTGTTATGCGAGTCAAGAAATAAGAAAAACCTTAAACACTTTGAAATATTAATTGTTTATTTCTGTCATCTGTCATTTTCTTTCTAAAACACAATAAGTAAATAGTAATCTTTAAAATTGTGCTTGTTGCTCTCAGAGGATTTCTTTACTTGTTATCAAATGATGTGCTTTGAATTATTACCAATAAAGTACTCTAATAATACCAAAGTTGTCTGGTTACTAAACATATTTAAGCTTTGATTTTTATTTAACTCATTATATAAATGAGTGTAATAAAAAAAAAGGGGGGGGGCTAACACATAGAGTCAGGCAACCATTCGTACTCACGTTCACACCTACGGGTAATTTAGACCAACCCCCCTAACTGCATGTCTTTGGACTGTGAGAGGAAGCCAGAGTACCCAGAGAGAACCCATGCAAACACGGAGAACATGCAACCTCCACATAGAAAGCCCGGCCAGGTGGTGGAGACTCAGGACCTTCTTGCTGTGAGGCAACAGTGCCAGCCACTCCACCACAGTGCTGCCCTAAATAATTTCTTATGTAACAAAATATAAGAAATGGATAATTTTTAATAATAACTAATAATAATAATTCTGAGTTATTATTGCAGCATAGTGTCTGACAGTAATGTGCTATCAATTATTTACCCTTAAGAAGAATTATTAAGTTAGCCAAGTCAATAACTATTTTGTTCATTATTTGAGTTCAATGACGTCTTTTATTATTTGTGTCATGGGTTATCAAAAACCAGTTAAGGTGCATAATGCTGGTCTGTCAGCACAGGTTCCGCTAAAGGATGTTGGGCCTTCATGCCACCGTTTTGGAGCCTGTTTCTAATAACTTGATCATAAATATGCCCAAGTGGAATAGAAAGGAAGAGATGCCAGTCCTGCTGGTATTACTTTTATGGCCTGCCTAGCTTTCTTTGTGTAACAGCCTGTCTTCTGGTATCTCCTCCTTCATTCTTGAGGCTGTCTTGGGAGAGGCAGCCATAACATCAGCCATGATTGTATTCAGATATTTGCCTGAACTATGTTATTTGAGTGAGACTAGTGGAGAGTGTAGCAGTTTGGAGTCATGATGTTGATACATGACTTTGTGTTTTCAGAACCGTGTGCCTAATTTCAATGTTTGTGTATAAAATGGGGCACATTTGAAAATAGACTTGAAACATTTGGCTACTTTGAAGATAGCCTGATTGGAACTAAAAGTAATGGTTCCTGGGTCTCCTGGGTCTTGGACCCAGGATTTTGAGTTTCTTGTTAATTTGTTTTTGTTCTTGTTCTTTTTTGGTTTTGAAACACAATTTCTTTTTTTTGCTTTTCTTTTTTTTGCATTTCTTTTAACATTTTTTTTTTTTTTTAAATTTTGTCCATGCAGTTTTCAAAACAGCGAGTGAACCAAAAAAATCTAAATGTTTAGTTTTTTTTTCCCTCAAAACCTTTCAGACTTTGCAAACAGTTCTGCAAAAGTGCAGGCCTAATATAAATTGTTGTGTGATATGGGGTCATGCTTGAAGTCGCCCCACCCATGTATAAAAGTTGATCTGAAGGCTGAAACAACAATTTTCATTTATTATTTTTCCATATATCCTAATGGTAGATTAAGATCTTTAATCTTAATCAAAAACCACAAGAAAAATCAAAAATATAAGCCTGATCAATATTTTTACTGAGAAATGTGGTTGGAGCAGTGAACATGTCTGGTCTAATGTCTGGATTTTGTGTGTAGACATGATCCCGCTTTTATATTCACACCTGGGACTGAGAAGAGGCTGTGTCACCAATCCATTCATGCCCATCATTATAGATGATTTTGAATGAGAGAAATAGCATTAAGTGTTGTAATGCTCAAACAAAGAATCTAATTTTACTGATAGTTAATTATGCTTCTACTCATCAGAATATAACTAAGTAAATATGTAGTGTGTGTGGCACTCTGATCTCTGAATGTCTACTTTAAAAATGTCTATGATTTAATAAATGTATTGAGTAAAGTCTGATAGACAAACAGTTTTAAAGACAAAATGTTACTACACCTGGTTTAAAAGGGAGTACAATAAATAACAAATGGTAAAATAAATATTCTTGTGAAAATGTGCTAAAGACAAATCTAAGTAAAGTAACATAAAATGAAGACATGAAATAACCTTTGAGATGAGCAGTTCAGAAGATTGGATCTCAGAAGTCCACCATTGGAAATTTCAGCAGAGACACAAGAGACATACAGTAGATACATACTTATACCTACATATTCATCTACATATCTATATATCTATCGGGAAGATGGTCACAACCATTCACATGCTTAGTGAATATTTCAGGGAGCCGAAACCAAAGAAAGAAGAGGAGCAAGAGGAGGAACCACTATGGACAGACAGGCCCTTGCATGGTATGTACTACAGACAGATATAAGAATTGGCTGACATCCAGAAGTCCTGCCGGTTCCTGGACTGAAAGACAGCACAGACATACTAATCACGGCAGCACAGGAACAATCTCTAAGCACAAGAAATAGAGGAGCTGGGGTCTACCACACCAGGTGCAGGCTGTGTAAAGATGCCCCTGAGACAATCAAGCACATAACAGCAGGGTGCAAGATGCTGGCAGGCGGGTCATACATGGAACGCCATAAACAAGTGGCCAGCATAGTATACAGACACATCTGTGCTGAGTATAGGGATGGGTATTGATAAGATTTTCACGATTCCGATTCCATTTTCGACTCTGTTTAACGATTCGATTCTTTATCGATTCTCTTATCGATTCTTTTTTTAAAAAAGGAGAACACTAAGATCGATTAGCTTAGAACTTTGTTTTATATCTTCTCTTTGAACAAGATAGAAATTTAGGAGTAACATGGCCTTACAAACCCAACAGTGAGATCTTAAGAAATCCAGCTTACGGCTCTTCAATGGGGTGTCACAGGGTCCCCAAGAAAAAAAAATGTAAATGTAAAATAATAAAATAAATATTCTTCTGTAGCAATAACAAAGTATAACATAAATTATTCTGTAGCAATTACACAAGAATATCCAGTAATGTCCCTCCCTACAATTAAACACATTCACTTACCGAAAATCGGGGGCATCTGCTGTGGCAGCCTTTGACCACAAACTTAGTCACTGCTCGGTGACATTTGTCTATCCTGGCCTGAAAGGAGACGCTAACGGTAGACTGCAGCGAGAACTGCCAGCATCTGAGCCAGCCAGACTGTGTCTGTCTCTCTCATCATGGTCACCTAAATGCAACGCACAGTAATGGCAGGTTTTGTAATAAGGCAGATTGCGCTAACATAATATGCACTGTTAGTTGATTATTTACCTGCCGCATTAACGGAAGAGGACGTGCAAATGGTACCGCTGCTTCTGGGTTGAGATTCACGAGTCCGGAGCGGAATTAAAAACACGACATTCATTTAAGGTCATCGTGTGTTTTGTGAGCAAATGCTTTTGCATATTCGTAGTGTTTCCTCCCTTAAATGAAATATCTACTTTGCAAGTATTGCAAGTTGCCCTGTTGTCATCCGTTCTCGTAAAGTATAATCAAACTTTTGAGCGTTTGAGCCGCCATGTTTCCTGCCAGGTAAATGAAGCTCCGCAACGTGGTGACGTCATTCGGGGCGACTGGAATCGACAAGGGAATCGTTTGCAAAAATGGCAAACAATTCCAAGGAATTGAAACAGTGGGAACCGGTTCTCAACAAGAACTGGGTTTTGATACCCATCCCTAGCTGAGTATGACCTGGAAGTCCCTAAGGCAAAACAAGAAAAGCCCCCTAGGGTGGTTGAAAATGAACGAGCTAATATCCTGTGGCCAGATACAAACAGACAAATTGGTGTTGGCTAACCAACCGGACATAGTAGTGGGGGACAAGCAGAGGAAGACGGCTGCAGTGACAGATGTGGCTACAATTAGCCGTAGCACCATATTAACACATATTCACAATATCACTTGGAAAGGAAAGTCAGGATGTGGTGAGGGGAATAAGGTCTGGAAAGGGCTGACAAGGTATAGCTAAATGTTAATGCAGAAGTTTGTGACTGAGGCTAAAAGCTGCAACTGGCTGACCCCCACTCAAGGTCAGGTGCACTGAAAGAGAACAAGAGATTTGATTTTGATTCACTGATATTTTAACTTTCAAGAACAATAGATATTGAGCCTGAACACAAATTTTTGTCACTTTAATTATCTGACAAACAGTCAAGGGATGGCTCAATAAGTAGAGAGACATTAGGACAGAGCTCATACACAAACTGTTTTTCTCACTATAAACACTGGAGAGGAACTGAAACTGTGAGCTGTGTCACTTTTTTCTATTCTGAAATGAACATGCAAATGTTCTTTCACAATTGTGTATGGTCTAGTGAATAACACATCATTTTAATTGCTTTAACTCCTGTCTTGGTAATTTAAAACTCAGACAAAAGGAGAAATGGGACTACAAGACGTGTGAGGGTTTTTTACGCATCCACAGCAGCTACTTCTGCTGTTTAAGAAACAAATGAGCCGAAGACAAATTTGGTACTCAATTAAAAATAAGTAAACAACGAACAGGGCTTAAACAAGAATCTAAACATTTTAACAGAACAGTTAAAAATGCCATTGACTTGAAGCTGAATTCCAATCATCTCTACAGAAAGGTTTTACTCAGATTCATGTAGTAAAGCAGCGGTCCCCAACCCCCTGGCCTCGGATCGGTACCGGTCCGTGAGTCGTTTGGTACCGGGCCGCGAGAGTTGAGGCTCAGGTGTGAAATGTATGGTTTTCAGGGTTTTTTATCGATTTTCAGCGTTATTTTGTTATCGTTTTTTTCGTTAACTCGGTTTTCCTGGGTCTTTTCACGTGTGTTATGAATAAATCTTCTTTTTTTCGGTACCGGTAACAGTATTATTTTGTTGTATTTATCCGCGACTTAAAGGCCGGTCCGTGAAAATATTGTCGGGCATAAACCGGTCTGTGGCGCAAAAAAGGTTGGGGACCGCTGTAGTAAAGGACCCTCTACAGGGTTCTTGTCTGCACTTTACCATTGAGGCCGCCCTCAGTAAGATCCACAACACAAAATACAGCATTATACAGAAATATCTTTTTGCTTTCTCCATTACTTTCCTTTAGTAAAGACACCTTTAGTAAAAACTTGTCTTCTGCTAATTATTTCTTCCTATTCTATGTAGACAAATCTAGGTCTGTGGACTAATAGGAAACAGCTATTTCTTCTTAAGTTAATCTTCATATCATACACATGTAATAGAATACATCAAATCCACAAACATAAACTAGTAAAACAAAAACAAAAAAACCCAAGTAATTTGAAATTAATCTTTAAATGATTGTAACTTAAGTACAGATTGCCTTTGTTTCTGAAAAAGCAGAAAACGCTGCATGAACCCAGCTGTAGCAAAGTCCAGGCTGAGTGTTAAGTTGTGGGACAGTCTTTTTCTGTTCCTGCCACAAAATCCAGGTTCCTTCCTCCTGGTTAGTCCAGCTTCCCACTATTTTCCCAACACAACTGCATTCCATCATTTCCAGTTAAGAGTCAGCATTTAAGGACCAGCTCATGGCCTCATTCTCTGCTGAAAGGTCTTCTGTCCTGTAAACTTTTATTCTCCTTGTGCTCACTCATCACAGCCGGCCAATTGCTTTGCCAAAAGGTTGAGCACACAAAGCCTCATTCAACAGTTTTTTTATGCGTGTGTGTTTTTAGCCTGTTTGATGGCACAATAATGGGCTTACAATATCCATCTCAACCTCAGAATCACCTCAGATCCAATTCCTGCGTCTTTTGAACAGTTCGAATAACATAAAAAGCCAATGTCGTGTCATTTCAGAGAATTGGGGCCTCATTTGTCTTTGGTCACGTGATTTATATATGTAAAAAATAAAATTCCCCTTTTGCGGTCTATCCTTCAGGCTCAGGTCCTCTATCAGAGGCCTGGGAGCTTGAGGGCCCTGTGCAGTATCTTAGCTGGGGTCTTGGCTGGTGTGATAGACCCCAGCCTCTATGGATCTTGTGCTCAGAGCTTGCTCCTGTGCTGTCAGGATTAGTGCCTCTGTGCTATCTTTCAGTCCAGCTTTGTCTAGCCACTGGTAGGATTTCTGGATGTCAGCCACCTCCTCTATCTGCCGGTGATGCATACAGTCCAGGGGTCTGTCCTTCCATGGTAGTTCCTCCTCTTCTTCCTCTCTCTTGGGTTTCTGCTTATGGTATTCACTGAGCACGCGGCTGGTGGGGTGTTCAGGCCTATGCAGAACAGCGCTGGGGACAGAGTATCTCCTTGGCTTGATGGTGACTTATGCTATGGGCTTGAAGTTGGCCTCTAGTGTTGTATGCCACAGTCCCATTGAGTTCCTGATGAAGGCTCTTAGGGTTCTGTTGATCTTGTACAGTTCTAGGCATTCCAGGCATTTCATAGTCTTTCTTGTAACCCAGACCTTCCCAAAGTGTGGGGCCC